ACAATACTGAACTAAGGAACCAGCTTAGAGAACTGGAGCGCTCTCTGTTGGGGCCTGATTCTCCTCGCTTGATAGATGGACACTATTGCTCTTTGAGTCACGGGGGTAATCATGGACCCTCATCAAACCAACTGATGGAGATGCTCCCTAAGATGGATCTCAAACAGGTACTGTTTTTATGTGCACAAGCAGTCTCAGAGAAGGATGTGTCAACTGCAGAAACCTTGATGGATGCTTTAGACAAGATGGTGTCAGTATGTGGGACACCAATGCAACGATTGGCTGCATACATGCTTGAAGGGCTGAGAGCAAGGCTGGAATCCTCGGGTTATACTATCTACAAGAAGCTAAGGTGTGAGCAACCAACAAGTTCTGAGCTTCTCACCTATATGCATATATTGTATCAGGTTTGCCCTTATTTCAAATTTGCGTACATGTCCGCGAATCTTATCATTCAAGAAGCTGTGGGGCACGAGGGGAGTATCCACATCATTGATTTTCAAATTGGGATGGGGACACAGTGGTTATCGTTAATCCAGTCTCTTGGTAACCGGCCTGGTGGGCCCCCACTTGTTCGTATCACTGGAGTCGATGACTCCCAATCAGTCCTTGCTCGGGGAGCAGGGCTGGAACTTGTAGAAAAGAGACTTTCAATGGAGGCTAAACAATGGAATGTGCCCTTTGAATTCCATGCAGCAGCAATGTCAGGTTGTGAAGTAAAAAGGGAGAATCTAAGCATTCGCCCTGGGGAGGCTTTGGCAGTGAATTTTCCCTACATGCTACACCACATGCCAGATGAGAGTGTGAGCACTGAAAACCATCGGGACCGCTTGTTGAGGCTAGTTAAGGAGTTGTCACCCCGAATTGTGACTGTAGTCGAGCAAGAGTCAAACACAAACACTTCTCCCTTCCTCAACCGATTCGCTGAGACTTTGGATTACTACACGGCAATGTATGAATCAGTTGATGTGGCTCTTGCTAGGGGTGACAAGAAGAGGATAAATGCAGAGATGCATTGTCTTGCACGTGATATTGTTAACATGATAGCTTGTGAGGACGCACAAAGGGTGGAAAGGCATGAGCCTTTTGGCAAATGGAGGGCAAGATTGAACATGGCAGGTTTTACTCAATTGCCCTTGAGTTACACAGTGATTGATGGAGTCAGGGGTTTGATGAAGGAGTTCCATGGTAATTATAGGTTGCAAGAGTGGCATGGAGCACTGTTTCTGGGTTGGAAGAACCGCATTTTGTCATCCTCTTCTGCATGGAGGTGAGGAATACTAATGCCAAAGAACTTGATCAAACAAATGGCTTGGAGTCTTGTAAAGTCCTGTTCTCCTCTCCATGTCCTGCTAAAATTTTGCTACGTTCGTGGGAATTGGAATAAGAGTTCTGGTGCCTACTTGCAGTTTATCAGTAGGGTAACAATTAACAGCTTTGGTTTTGTTTGTGCAACACCAGTATGCGATTTACTAAAAACATGTTAGATAAACAATTGGGGTTGGGGACATAGTTTCATTTTCCATTCGTAGTTGAAGTTTAGTTTTGTAGAAATTATGCTACTACTAGTAATTGTATAATGTGTGGCTATTGAAATTTATGGATACATCTTTGGTTGCACTTTGTATTTTCAGCTGAATATATTGGAGTTCAACACAAACAAAACAAGCTTTTATAATGATTGCACATTTAAATTTGATAATCAAATCTCCTTTTCAATTTCTTTGAACTTGACTGTCCAATGATTTATGATGCTACATATCATAGATTTGAAGACATGCGGCTATATTCTGAAGTGGACTTAGTCATCCACTCTTGAAACAGCCTATATAGCTTTGTGCATTAAAGTTGGCGTGTCCATGACATTCACTAGCGCATGTTAACTTGTGTGACAAATGCTTGTCCCATGTTATGCACAAGCTAGCCACACGTGCACGTGTGTCGTGCACATATCATAGCCAGGGTACATACTTGTTTAATGTAGGTATGAAGAATTGTCCTATTATTTTAGAACCACTTACAGGTCAACTCGGCTTGAGCTAATAGGTTATACACTTTGAGAGTGAGAGAAAAAGTAGGGAAGTTTCCACGTTAAAGTATTATTCTAACCTCAAGATTTAATAAGGTTCATACAATTAGGTAGACTCATAATACAACCAGCCTACCACTATAACTATCTCCATCTATCTTGTTGTATCTATCTTATTTGACCATTTTAATGTGACTGTTTGAGTCAATGGGAAATGAATTAATACAGAGTGAGTATTCCCCCCCTACCCCCTTTTTTTTCTAAGTTAAAGACTTTTCAAAAAAAAAAAAAATACTATTATTATCATTTTCATGTTTAGGTATAATTGGTGAGGATATGGTACCATATAAGAAATAAGACAATTGTTAATACTATACAGACAATATAAAATGAAACTTAGGGCAAATAAATAAGAAATGAAAGGGTACATGATATTAATATGAATGTCATCTAATATAGTTGGCTGAAATGTTAAGGTGGTACGCGACTATGTTGTACCTAATACTCTCTATTTGCCCACTCGTTTTCTTAAGTCAATCACTTTTCTTTTTGGATTGTTTTTTCAAAGTGTTACTTCTGTTTTTTTAAAGTAATTTATAATTTCCCAACAAACCCCCGCTTACATAATACATAGAAAGTAATAACTAATAACAAATGGCTATTTGGCCAAGGTGGGCCTCAGGTACATGGACCACACTACAACTACAAGGATTCAAATTGAACCTTTAGATGTTATGGCTTTAGGGGGTTTTGTGTAACACGTTGGACGGCAAATGAAATTATTTCTTAATTTAATTGTAACATGTGAAAACAACCATATCCCTTTTTTTACTCAAAAACAAATTCCTGGTATCTTCTTTGAAGTTCTGAACTGAAAGCTACATATACAATCATACATACTTCTTCCCCCACTCAAAACAGTGATTCTTGTGGTTATTTGACTAATGTAGACTTGTAGTGGCTTCTTCAACTTTTGGTTGGGAAATATGCCAGAACCTAAAACAGATTTTTATTACTAAATGGCATTAAGAATCACTTGTAACCGTCCACAAATTATGAAAAATCTCCATTATTTCACCTACTCTTTAGTACAAGATAGTCCTTGCTACAACTTTTAGGAGACTAAATGTCTACTTATATCAACATAAGTTTTTTTTTTTTTTTTTCCCTCTATTTAATATTTAGAAAATCATGTTAATGTGATTTGTTATCTAAGTAATATGGATGTGAGAGAACCGAGAGACCTTACAAACCACTTACAAACCAATAGAGGAAAAATGTCTAATCATTGCAATAATATAAAACGAAAGTAGTATAAGCTAGGTATACATAATGATGTGTGAGATGTGTTAATTACTTAATTGTTAGTAATGCCACCTACACTACCCAACTCGGGCTAAACTTCACAATTGCAAATTACAAGCAAATTAATTTCTAAGATAGTACTCGTACAATATAAATGTCATTTTCAATCTAATGTCTTATGTCACCAAAGGTCCTTGTGACTTTTATAAAGTTGACTAGTCTAAATGTCTTTAAAAAAAAAATTATTTTTAATTTCCAACAATAATTTCACCAATAAAGTTTACTTGATAAGTTATAACTTTTACGTTTTAATTAGGTTTTTGTTGATAATGAAATTGGATCAATCATCACTTCATCAGTGACACTTATGCATTCATCGTGAAGGTTCCAGTCAACTCAAATCACTTCTTTAATACAATTTGCTCCTTAATTATATTGAGATGTTTTGTTTTAAGTCGTTTTTTTAAAAAAAAAAAAATTGTCATTAAAAAAGAAATTTCGTATTAGGCCTCCTAGCCACTTTTGGACCGACTAACCCGATCCAAGCTAAAGTCCCAACCCAAGATAATATATGGCTAAGTCCTAGCCCGGCCCATAATTACCTCTAGACCTCCATCTTAAAAACCTACATATAACCCATTTTCATAGGATTGCAATATCATGAAACCCAAATCCAAATTATTATGGATTGGATCAACACCTATAATCCACATCTTACAGGAGATATATATACTTTTGTAACAGATAGTATGCCAATAAACTCCTCTATTTTTATTGGGGGTGCAATCAAACATCTCTCAGATATAAATAACCAAAATTCGACTCGTTTTCCATTTTCATTTTGTTCTTCATTTCCCATTATCAGATACACAAAAACTCTGATCCCAAGGCAAGTCCATCCTTAATCTTTGTGACATATATTTCATCTCACATTTCAGAATTTTGCGTATACAATATTTGTTTTTGATTATCAGGTTTATAATTTTATGAAACATAATTTTTTGATGTTCATGTGTTCAATGAGTCTTGAAATGTTTTGGCTTAGATATACATTTAATCTCATGGGAATGTTATAAATTGATTTTGTATTTCACAAATAAATGTTGTATTGGATTGTTGAATCGTCGATTCTTGTGGAATGGTTTACTTGGTGATTGTTGATTTTTGGCTGTAAGTGCCTTCTTTATCGAGTATTGTTGCACAATATCAAGTCACGTAGTCGTGTAATTTATTTACATTCGACTAAGATAAAATGACATGATTTCGTAAGTAGGCTAATGGGTTTGTTTTACTCCAAAAGATTAAATCTTTTCGTGATTTTAATTTACTTATAAACTCAGTTTAAGGAACATTTAGTAAGAGAGTATAAATTTACACCACAATTTCACATTATTATCAAGTTTGTACCTATTTTTTTTCTTGATGAACGCATATCACTATTTGGCAATAATAATATATCATCTATGTTTTCCAATAAATTACTCATTTCTTGTGACATTTTGTTCCTCCTAAAAGGAAATCCCTGCATACTTTTGGCTCATCAAATTCAAATGAGTCATTTTAGTAAAAACATGCTGTTGTTAAGACGGTCATTGTTTGAAACATTTTTATGTACGACATTGGTTTGAGTTTCACTTTCTAGGAGTGCTGACAGAATTCAAGGGGAATGGCTTCAAAGCAGCAATCAGAAAGATTGGATGCACACGCGATGCAGAGGGAAAAAGAAAGGGAAAGGCGCCGTCTTAGAGACAGAATAAGAAGGCAGAACATGACCCAAGAACAAAGGGATAGGCATCTTGCTAGACGCCGAAGAAATTATCAGCTCAGGAGATTGAGGGCTCAGAATGCCAAAATGTTAAGCTCTCAGCAAACTGATACTAACATAAAGTGTAATGCATCTGAGCTTGAATTGATTGACCACCATTCTTCTTCCAGTTTACCTTTACTCAATGAGCTGCCAACCACCTCTGAAACTCAAGGTTTATAAGTGTCTAAATTTGATCACATCTCATGTACTGCTTAAAGGAGTGTCATTATATGTTGAATTAAAAAATGTGTTCTTAAGAAATATCTTTTGCTATGTCTAGGAGGAGCTCAGAGCGTAAGGAAGAACCCGAGAAGGTTACGTGTAAGTGATGTAAGGCATCTAGCTAGAAGATTACATAGTAATGTTCAACACCAAAATGGGGGACTTCTTACAAGCTGTGAGTTGCTCACTCTTTATGTTCTTTTAATTCAGATTTTTATCAGAACACCTAATTTGCTACTGTATATATTATGTATGTGTTCATTTGACTGTTTCAGGTGTAGCAACCACTAAGAGATTGAGATTAATTCATGTCAAACGCCTGGCTCGAGCAGTAAAGATTACTTTGGAGTAGTATTCTTTTATGTTCATAGAACTAAGCTAGGCATAGGGGATGCAATTCACATTGATAATGTAAGTCTCACTTGGGCAGCTTTAGTGTCATACTGAGGTATAACTAATCATTTAACTCAGGAACAGACTTTTAATTGTTGCTAAGGATAGGAGCTGCAGCCTAGTTATGCAGGAGTGTTGCAAATGTAGCGCGAGTTCATTCACAGTGTATCACACAATTTTGGCAATGCAAAGCACATCTGTTTTGTAATTTTGTACTCAATGTTACTCAAACTCTTTATTTTACTTAAGTTATAAGCGTTGCACCAACAATAGTCCATAGTTCATCATGGGTGGTGCGTATGGACATTGGACGTCACTTATACTCTATTCAGAGCGTTTTGGACTACATATAAGAAATCGTTAGCTGCACTGTGCTTGACTCTTGGACACGTACCCAAATTAATGTTAGTTTGTACTCAACGACCAAAAAGTTCCCCAGCTGATAAGAAGTGGTTCTTAATGGATTGATTATAGGCTTTATAGCATGAAAGTTGCAACAGATCGGTTTCCTTAAGCTACTGAGATCAAGTTACATTGGTTATCAAATGCATCTGCAGGTTCTTCTGCCTAAAGAAACCACAAATCTGTTTTACGAAATCCTTGTCTTACAGTTTGCAAGAGGAACAATAAAATGAAGTTTCATTGAAAAATGCAAGTTTGCACGAGAACCATAAGAAACAAATCTTTTAGCACCCGGGTGTATATAACAATGTCTAAATTATAAGTTGTGACATAATCACTTGTTAGGAGATAATTTTTGTAATTTATTTCATTAATCTAAAATAAATAAAAAAAAAAATTTAAAAAAAGAAAATTGACTACAGTTTGATAGATGATTATAATGTAGTCTTTTTTTTTTTACGGGAGATTATAATGTAGTCTTATGACTTTTGGCTACCATAGTTTTTTAAAATGGACGGTTGAGATTATTTGTTTTTTGATTTATTTATAAAAATTATTTTAAATATATTTTTATCATCCATGAATTATTTTTTAATATCTTCAAATTTCTGGAAATAAAAAAAATATAAAATAATTAAAAAATAATTTTAATTAAAATTACTAATTAAAAATAAATAATCTCAGTCGTCCATTTTAAAAAATTATTGAATTACAACAATTTGATTGCCTGAAAGTTTTAGGAGTTTGAGGTAGGTTTAAACACTTTGAGTTTCGGATATTAAAGTGTATTGATTTTGTGGTTCAAACCTTTTTATTTATTTATTTATTTATAAGTAAATTTTATGCTGGTAACAACTTTTGGGGATAAAAACTTATCTTAAATTCATAATATCATATCTAACAGCATGATGAACTACAAACCTAAATCAATCAAAACTACCTTTTATTATATGTAATTTTGGAAACAGATTCTACTCCAAATATGTTCAAAAACCCTACTTTTATTTATATAAAAAGAGTAGACTTATAGTAGAATAAGGAAAGCCAAACTACCTTCCCTCCAAAAATTATATAATTACCAGCGTTTTTGCAAGATTTAACACTAATTTCTTCCCTTTTTTTGTTTAAGAATTGTTGAAAGTTAAAGAAGATCAATGTCTTCAAGGTCTACAATGATTCAAGAAATTATTAATGGAAATCTTGATCATATTCATATTGCTAGGTTGAATTCATTAATGCAAAATTTAAGTATATCGTCCAACAATTATCAAGGTATTGATTTTTTTGTTAAGTTTTTCTTGTAATTTAATTACATGTTCTTATATTGAATGTTGTTATGATTAATCTATAGTCCTCTATTCTTGAATAATTAATCGTAATACTTGATATTGCACAAAATTATTTTATTCAAAATTACATACTTTTATTGAAACTAATATAACAAGAATTCGACTGACTTAACTATTTTTAAGGTAGAATTTTTTTAAAATTTACCATAATCTCTCGTTTTTTAGTCTGCATTGTATCAATATTCGTTACCTATTCTCTGAAATTTCTGAATATGTAATCTGCATTGCATCACACATAACTTTGAATACTATAGATCGAATTATAAAAAAAATAAATTAACATTCTGCTTCTTGGATTTGATTATATGAGGGTTTTATTAAATGCAAGATTCTCTTGTTTTATTTACAAGAATTCAGTATACAAATTGATTACAGTAATATGAAAATCAATAAGCAAAAAATTTAACTGTATTTTTCCTGGAAATTCTTTGAAACAGGGCAATCTCTGCCTAATCAGTACCAAATAAACTATGATCAACCTGTAATTGGTAACAACATCATGGGTTTAGACTACAATCGTCAGTTCACAGGTGCTAGCAGTAGCAGTAGCAGTAACAGCAGTGAATTGAATTATCGGAATTCGATTATGCAACATCCTGGTCTATATTCTACTGCAGCAGCAGAAAGACTATTGAACAATTTTATTGAATTGAGATGTTATAATAGATCAGTGATCTTACTCAAAGATTTCTTAACTGATCCCTACGTCGTTATGATGGATAAAGGCCGTTCTTCTGAATTTCTGCATTTCCTTGAAGGCTGTCCTACAGGTGTGATTGCTGGTATACTTGATAAGATTGCAAAATATCCTGAAGAGTGCCTTGTTTGTGCTTCCTGTCACCCTGTCGCGTAAGTTGTTAAGCTCTTTTATCAGTAAATGCATATATATAGTTGTGTATTCTTACAGAATTAATGAATTTGTGGTCATCTTTTGTTTATATTCAATAGATCTTCGGTGATTAAGAAGTTGATCCATGTCGCGAGGAAACTACCTTGTGTTAGTCTGTTTCCTAAGACCATTGCTCCTAGTGTTGTGAGCTTATTGAGTGACCAATTTGGAAGACATGTTGTTGAAGAATGCTTTATTTTATTGGATAAATTTAAGAACGAGGTAAGTAAGATAAATAACACTTTTACCACATAATAACTAACAATATATATTGTACAATCATTAATGTAACGTTTTGCCAGATTCTATATGAACAAGTGGTAGAACATTGGTTGGATATAGCCACTACCAAGTATGGATGCATTTCGTTACAAGTTTGCATCAATCATATGGATCCCTCTCCCTCGCCACATATTCGTCAAGGCGTCTATGTCCCTTCTCTCAAGGAATGTCTTCTTAAGCTCATCTCCTACAACGCAGCATTTTTGGCACTAGATGAGCACGGGTAATTACCAATAATAATGCTTTTTTCATACAATGATTTTTAAAGTTTAAAAATGATTTAAACATTTTTATGATTTACAGGAACTATGTTTTACAACATGTAATAATGATGAACCATCCATTATGTAATGAAATAATTGCTACGGAACTAAGACCTATCTATGAGATATTGTCTAACAGCAAGAGTGGTAGCCATTTAGTGGAGAAATGTTGCGGTAGTCCTTTTCGAAGTTATGTTGCAGAGGAGCTGCTAAAGAGTAAGAATCTTCTGAGTATTGTACAAAATAAGTTCGGAAATTATGTTATTCAGAGACTACTCAAAGAGACAAAGGTAAAAAAAATATATACATTATTAGTAGTAATACTCCTAGTATATTTTTGTTATAGTAGAGTAATACATAAGATTAGATTTGTTGTTAATAGTTTCATCTTTTTTATTGTAGAAGCATGACACTTTCTTGTACGAAAAACTTTACAAGAAATTGTTGCAAGACTTGGATACATTCGAGAATACCCCTTACGGAAAGAATGTTGCCAATTTGATCAAAGATCAATTGATGGAAGACAATTACAAAGCCAATGGAGACAGGATACAAAAGTGGCAACAAAAAGATAGACAAAGAGGCATATGAAATAGTTTTCGCGGCAAAATAGGGAGCATTGTTGTGAAAAAATTGCCGTATGCTGTTGATATATTTGTAGGATTGTTTGTGCTTTGTAGTGACTAATACCAACTTTGTATTTCATATTAGTTTTGGTGTGTTTGTGACTTGAGCCAAAGTCTTATTAAGTGTAATAAGTTCTTATACTCCGTATGTTTCAGTGAAATTCTAGGTTGCAAAACTTTTTACATGAATATGATTTGTTTTCTGTTTTCATTGTTTTTTTCTTTCTTGTACCTTAAACTAACTTTGATATCACATAAACTTATATGAAATGATGGAACATGTTCCATAAAAACGCGCTATGATAATACTTCCTAGAACCCTAAATTAAAAACATAGTCCGTTGCCTGCGACCATACATGTATACATTGTTAGATTTAATGCTAAGCATTTGGACATTGTTATGGAGTATTCCATAACCCCCAGATATCACATGTAAATCCTAACCAAAGTACTATCTCATCTTTTGCATAGCCCGACACGGTTATAAGTCTTATAATTACTCCGCACTACCTAGCTAATTGTTTTAATGAGACCAATTTGGCAAACTAAATCTGCAGAAGCAATGTTAACATAAGTTAGTACATTCAGGCGTTTCAGCAAAAGTTTAATTTTGTGACCACAATCATAGAGGAAAAAAAAAGCAGATGCTAACACCGGTTGCTACCAAAAGAAATCCTGAAGATTTTGGAAAAGAGTTGGCTAATTACTAATTATGTGATGCTCAACAAAAATTTCACATTTGCAACTCGCCGATCAAAGGAATAATATTGTGATGCTGCAGACTAATGCATTTAAAAATTGCCACATTTATCTCATTCCGCTCATAAATAGTTGAAAAAAAAATATCCTTTCACTAAACTCCTTGTCATGCTTGTGCCTTGAATGATAGCGGTCCAAGAAATTTGTAAGCACATACAATAATCATCAACATCCCCTACATAAACATCTCTAATTTACGGGATCTAATTGGCTCTGGGGGTCGAAAATCTTCTAACCGCAGATTGGAGCCAGCTCGAATATCTTTCAGTACAGTTTCTCCTTGCTCAGATTTGATCTTATCCAGGACACTTCCTAGAATTTCAGCCGCCAACCCTGATTCTCGTAGACAGCCTGGCTCCTCCCCACCCTCTTGTATTAATCGACCAACATCTTTTAAAGGTACCAAGTTTTCTATAACTACACTGGCAAATATCCGGCCAAGAAACTCTGGCGCTTTAGGGGCATCATTAACTGTATCCTCCAAGGTAGTCAACACAGATTTGAACCTGGGATATAAAATTAAAAAGATGATTCAAAACATACAAGTACAATAAGCATTATTAATACAGAACTCTAATTAAAAATTGCCACAAAGAAACTCTTACCCTTCAACAAGCTGGACAGGGCTAAAAATGCCTTCCCGAGGTCTTGTAAGGTTGACAAGCAGTCGTGACAGCATGTCCCGCTCCAAGTCTTTTCTTTCAAAGGAGTCAGTGACCCAAGCAGATATGACTGTAGGATAAAAACTTGGAACATTCAAGTCTTTGATGCATAGTGCAACTTCCTTCTCATCGTTCGCACTGAAAGCAAATCCCTCCATTATTTCATATTCAAAGAAGCAAAAACACAAGTCATCTTTGCCTAAAGCAATCTAATAAAAATATTTGCAATAAATTTCATCACATATGTTCACCAAGTATTTCTATTAAGAATGATCTCAATACTTTTCGTTTTCTTCTGTTTCACAAAATTCTTAACAATTTCACTTTAATCTATTCTTGGCACACATTTTACCATCTTACGCACCTACCCCACAGTATTTTCACCTGGGTGGTGGTGGTTGACAGTGGTTGCTATTGTCCAAAAACAAGTCTATCAAGGACAAATTTTACCAATCACGTGATACAATACTCCAAATCGACTACAGAGAGAAATTCTGGAGCCTGAGGCAGAAGAGGGTCTAAACCGATAAGGGACTAAATCAAATTGTGAGCATCACATCCCTTACTAAAGAGTTGATAGCAGCATCAGATAAAATTATTGATACATAATATATTATTTTAAAGAAATGAGAGACGACACCTTCAAGGTAGGCAAAAGAAAAAATGGCTGCATGTTTTTTAGCATGATTGAGGACGAAAGCAATTGCTATGAGAGAGTACCAGATAAATCACAATTACAATATAGTTTCCTTTATTTCATTTTGCTCTTGGCCTACTATGGGAGGGGTACCAATAGCCTCACACAGCATGCCTTCAGGACATATATTATCAATCAAGAATGATTCTGGGTATATCAATAATATGAACTCTCACTCCCAGCCCTGTACAACAAAGGTAATATAAAACAAAAGAAAACAGTAAAATGGCAAGGAAATCACATGGCACAATTAGTCAAAACTACATTTCCCTCACCTGTACCCATTGAAACAGCCTATGTTTCATACTTAAAAATCTGTGTGAGTCATTTCATCTAACTTTTAATTTAGCAGCATATTCTTCACCAGAAGGAAAAAAAAAAAAAAAAAAGAAAAAAAAAAGGATTAGTCCTTTGAATCTCTGAGTGATGAGTCATACAAGAAAATATTCCTAATGGTATATATCCCTCTTTCTGATTCTGTCAAAAATTAAACAGATCAATTTATCAAATCATCAGAGATGTCTTAACTCTAAAGCAGCCACAAATTCTGACATGACTGCTGGCGAAACCTTTGAGTAAACAAAAACAACCTAACGGGTCTTCCAGTTTCCTCGACAACAAATACTAAATTGGCAAACAACAAAGTCAATATGCAGGCATTGCAGCAACCAAATTATATAGTTAAGGTGGATTTGTGGCAAAAAGCACATTTTAACAATAAGTTCACTACAAGATGATGTCCGATGTTTCTACATAGCATATTAAAAAACTTTCCTCCCTTTACGAGTCTACGTCAACTAATCTAGTGTAATTGATTTTAGAAAAATAATTGTGTGCAAAAAGAAGCTTCCGATTAAAAAATATATATATATAAGCAAGTGAAACAATAGTGAGAAGAAAATGGGAGGGTGCATGTGCGATCCAACTCAACAAAAAAAGAGAAAGTTCCTTAATAAAGAAGTGGGGCAAGTAATTTGGGACACCCCAAATAGGAAAATGAGACAAGTAAATCAATACAACCTAAATCAGAAAATGGGGCAAATAAATCGCCAAATCAGTACACCCTAATTCAGAAAATAAGGCAAGTAAATTGGTACTGAGGTAGTCTCTGTTTCTTTTTAGTTGACATGTATTCCTTTTTAGGAAGTTTTTTTTTCCAGTTGACATGTTTCCTTTTGGGGTAACTTTTTTTACCATGCATTTACAAGCTACCTCACTTGCTTTTTCATTCTCTCTCTCTCTCTCCTCTCCTTAATATATGTGCCTAAATCAAATGCGTCAACTAAATAGAAACGGAGGAAGTATGAAAGTACAAGACACAGGTATTTAATACTCTGCAAGGAACTGTTATATTAAATGAATTTGATGCTTGTTCACTCAATCAATATCATCAACAGTTAAAACACATTTAACTAACTGCTCCACTTGTACAGTTATACACACCCAAAGAGAATGCCACTACAACATTAAGCATCAAAGCAGGTACCTGTGACAAACAGATATGCACCAGCTAGAATACTGATATATAAACATAGCATCACATAGACTTCGAATATTGGACTCAAATGATAGATTCCAGATATTAATGCGGAGTCTGCAGTTAGATATTACAAAAATATGCTGATAGTCCCGTACCAAAAATAGAGTTTGGCACTCCTAGTGTGAGCATTGAGCGTATGCACAAGGGGGGACTGATATAATCAATTTTTGGAGTGGGGAAATCACTTCAATCTGATGCCCCAATAGAACATAGAAATTTAATGAGAACAGCAAAAAAAATAATTACAAGAAAGCTTTACCTGTAATATTCCCTTATTGCTGAAATTGACCTCTCCCGTAAACGCTCCTCGAGCCATACTGTTTCTGGAGAAACATTTAGAGCTGGCACAACCCGTGCCACAGGAGGAGTTAATGGCCTAGCCCTGTCAAAATGTTGTTCGGGATATCTGGCATCTCTATTTGTGTTGTGCTCTTGGCTACTATATTGATCATAAGCAACTGGAGCAACAAATCTATCAGAAGGATTCCTCACAAGTTGATCTTCCCTTGAGCTAAATGCTCCACGGTCTGGCACATTACTGTAACCATTCAAACCACCTACCATTCTTCTGTCTACATAGGATGGGGTATTGTCTAACAGGGGAGAATTAGACATAGATGGTTGCCCTCTATATGCCATCCCCCTAGCAAGACCACCTTGGGGTCCCAGAGTAATTGTCTCATCACTTGATAGCCTCTGAGGCAAAGGCACTGAAAGTGCACCACGGCTTTCAAAAATATTCCTTTCATCAATCCGGGAATCCTGTCCACCAAACCCACGAGGCTGAGAGGGCATACCTCTGAAACCACCACCCTGCCCAATAGGAGACGATATCATAGGTCCTCGAGGACCAAAATCCATAGGTTGGCCCCTTCTCATCCCAGAATTCATGCTAGGGCCACGATTTAACCGACTGGTTTGTACTTGCCTTTCTTGAGCAGCATCACGATGCACTTCATCAATCTTCTTAGGACCCTCAACCTTCCTTCTCTGTTGCCATTTGTTCTTTCTAAGGTCAATAGCATCCCTCAACATGAACCTTACTCTAGAAGATAACCTCATATTGTTGGATAACTGACCCATGATGTCAAAGTAAGCATCCATATGCTCCTTGGCTTTGGGATGATCAATCATCTCCCCAATTGTGCTCATCAACTTGCACAATGCCTCAATGTTTTCTTCATCAGGGTTTTGAAATTGACCTAACAACTTCTTTATACACTCGTGCATTATTCTTTCAGTTAACATCCTCTTCTTGTACAACTCACCAATCAATCTAATATTCCCCAACATGCGTCTACGTGCT